TCTTGTTGGATTATATTTTTTATTTTGCAATTTTCATAAATTCAACACAATTATGGAGGAGGATTTGGCAGATTTTGATCTTTACAACACATTGTTTTATTTTCATAATATTAGTTGTGAAAAGTTCTTAAACTTTTTGGTTCTTTTGATATGTTTTATTATTTAAAAACCTTCTGATCATTATTTATATCTAATTAAATATCATTGAAATTATGTAATTATATAATTCTAGTCCAATCTGTGTCTGTTAATTAATCTAATTGATCTTAGTGGTTTCATCAAAGAGAGTAGACTCTCCATATCATCATTTAGTAAGTGATATGCCTCTATTTAACTTTCACTTGGTTAAATCTTTAATACCAAATTCAAATTTGTTTCAATTTTTTAAACAGTAGATATCAATCGTAGAATGAAATACAATATTTATATACAATTAGACGATGTTCTATTTTTAGTCATAGGAAGTGGAAATATTGGGTGCTATCTTTATGGATTTACTTTGAGATATTTTAATTATATGCTTACCAAAATAAAACTGAGATGTTTTTACTTAACATAATATACCCTTTTTGGGGTACGTTTTTGAAAAAAAATTGTTATAAGGTCACAAGGCAGTCACAATTTTTTTGTCCTACATTTTAGTGAAGCGACTGAAAATATAATACCTCGTTCGTAATTTAATTGCCTTTTATAGTTTTCAAGACAAAACGCAGTGTTCAAGGTAAATTTGTTGCCCTGTACCTATTCTGAGAATTTAATTTCATCTTCATTGTTTATTCATCACTGCTCTATCAAGAAAATGGATGGAACTATTAAAATTATATCAGTGTTTTTTTCTTACAAGCAACGACATGCAACCAATTGAATTGACTATTTTTAGAATACAGCGATGAAGTTACAAAAATAGAACCAAACTGTTTCAAATTATATTTTATATCCTAGATTTTTGTTATTGGATCTGTCAAAGCTTATTTTTTTTCAAGAAAAGGAAAACAAAGTAAAATAAAGAGTACAGTTTGACCAAATTCATCTTGTCCACGAGCAGTGGCAATGTTACCACATCACAGGAGCTGAACTTACTGCCCTGCACTTAAGGTCTTCTATCTTTGTCATTCCTCCAGCGGACTCTCTTCTTCAAGCTGTACCATCATTCATTTGTGACAACAAAAGTGCTAAAAACAAAAAAAGTGCTAATCGCGATAATCCTCAGGCCTACAACATTTTTTCCACATAATTGAAATTGCCTGACTCATCCACTTCATAAGCCGACTTTGATATATTCTCGATTGGAGATATGAAAACAGGGAAATCATTCTTTACAATTGTTTGAAGATAAGTTGCATTAAGTATTTGTTATTAGTTCGACAACAATAAGAGATAACGATTGGTAACGCACATGATTGGCCAATCCCTTTTTTCACTTAGAAATATGAAACAATCACGTACCCCAGGTAATTAAGTGGACTTTGTGATTGGAGGTTGTTTTATCTAAAATCGCACTGGTCTGTTGCCTAAACGTCATTGCAGTGGTAGAGAGGTGATAATGATCGCGAGGAATTTTTTAACGCGTGGTGGTGACTCAGAAAATGTAGAGTTTGTGATAAGGATTTATAATTAACATTACTGGAGTGCAAGTTGTAGTGTACTTGTCTCGCATAATTTGTTTATCTATTTTTTAATTATCTAATAGAAAATACATTCACCTTGAATAGTAAACAAATTGAGATCTTGAAAAATAATATAGATATTTATAATTTGGAAGAAACCAGTAAATATATCATCTCAAATGTTTGTATTTTGAAGCAAATTAATCTTTGTTCGAAGTTGGCAGAAATAAAGAAATCAGGTCACGTCTATACATGCTCGTAAAAAATTCAGTGAGGCTTCTATTTTGGTCGGTTCGCTACTTATAAATCTACTTCGGTAATGCAATTTGTTAGAGCATATTTGAGTATGTACAAGGTGTGGTCGAAAAATTCTGTCTATCGCAACATATACGGGGTGGGTGGTCTGTAATTGAAAACGGCAAAGCATACGCACATAAATTTAATACAGTGATTTAAAAACACCTATTTATATTTTTTTATTTATGAAAATGATGCTACCCCCACATCTACGCCACTGGTCATTTTATATTCTTGGTAATACTAATTTTATTTGAAATGATTTCGGAATTATTAAGAAATTTCATATTTTATTGTAGGAATATGCAGTGCCGTATCTTCGTAAATAGTCCCAACTGAGGAAAAGTTTAAGAAAATTTTAAAAATTTTCTATGATTACTAAGTACCGTAGTAATTTTTTTTTAGAATAATGATCGTTTTTCGATGAAAAAATATGGATTACTGCTAAAAAAAACATTTTTAATTTAAAAAAATGCATAAAAAGTGAAAAATTACTTATTACATTGATTTTCAGTAACAACGACAAATTTAAACATTCCATGCACTAAGAAAAAAAATTGCAGCGTTTTGAAATTATCAGGGTTTCTTTAGGACACTGAGGTTGAAAAGTTATACTCAATATCCTTAATTTATTCATTATTTGCAAAGTTATTCAAATATCCCTAATTATGCAACTTTTTTACCTTTTTTCTAACCGACATTTTCACTTTGAAAATTTTTTTTATCAAAAACCAATAATTGCGAGTTAATAGAGAATACTTTGCAGTTTTAAAAACCTTGCTTGGATTTTCTGTACAACCATTATTTCTCGAGTAATTGATTGCCAAAGTTAAAAATGATTTTTTTGCTTTGTTCGATGATAACTCAGTGACAAATCATCATACCCGGAACCGTTCAAATTGAAGAGAATTAAATTATCTAAAAGAATTTTAAGGTGAAATTACCCAAAAAAATTCCACAAGGCCTTTTAAAGAAAAGCAAAAATAAAAAAAAATTTACTCGTCTGTAAAAATTTTACTGAGAGTCAATAATTTTATATTATAGTACCAAGATGAGATAAAATTATTTGTATAAACAATCTACATATTACATAAGTATAAGATATAAAAAAGTGGTTTGTTCTGGAGTCTAGCTGAACATGAATCTGAAGTTTTTCACCGATCAGGTATTGGTTTTTCCCTAACCTCAAAATACGGTGTAATCTTCAAGATAAACAAATTTTTTGCTTTGTATGATCTTAATAATAAAATGCCGATTTAAGCCATTATAAGTAATCTACAGTCTAAAACGGAAGTTGAACTTTTTTCATTGATGATGATTTGATAAAATCTTTATATTGATATGTTGTAAATTGTAATTCTTATCACATGCTTAGTCACCACATTAAAATATTTGTTATAAACTATCTAATCTACATCATGCACTTCATAATTGATATAAATTAGTTCACCACTTGAGAATTAAAGAAAAACATAATTTGTATGAGTACCTAACAATGTCACCCTTACACTATAATTTATCGATAAAAAACTTGATTTGCAAAAATTTTGTTACTTAAAAAGTGCAAGTATACCTAAAATTTATCCGGAATTCAGGGCAGTCTGGAGCACTTCTATATTTTGTTGAGGTTGGATTGGAAGTTTGAGCATCCCACGATATTTTTTTTATGCTTGAACTAGTAATCGAATACCCAAGTCAACAATTTGGAAAAATGTTAACATTACGGTGCATCAAAATTCTGAAATTTACACCAAAATGATTACTCCGTTATTTTTTATATTTGACTTTAGGAGAAAACAATTCTTAAAAAAAGTTGTTTAAGGAGCGTCATATACAGGGTGAATAAGATTAAGATCAATAAAACGAAACAACAAACCCAAATATCAAATATCTCTTAAACGACTACTACTATTAAAAACCAACAACCAATATTTTTCATTCATTTAACATAACAATATCTGAATGTAACATTATTTCTACAAAAAACCGCCAGTGGTGTATTTTTTTGTTGGGAAAATAAGGCGGCACCTCCAGTAGCACGTCACTGGTTAAAACCAGGGGATTAATATTACATTCAATAAAGGGTCTAGTTAAATGAATACGCTGTAGTAAATTTCATTCTATTCCGTCAGCGCATTATGAAGATATGACACAAAATATAATTTTTTTATAAACTTTAACGCTCATGTTCTCGAATACCATGTCCCCCAGGAAAAAAGTTTATAGAGCAAACTCTACTAATTTTTTGCAACTAATTTATTCCTCCAGTTTTTGTATTTAAAGTGAAATCACATACATTTTTAGAAAAAAAAAAACATGTAAGTTGTTTTTTAAATGGAACATCTGTTTGAAATCTGTATATTTTTTTATTTAAAAAATTTAGATATTTCATATATCGGCACCATGGTTACTCATTATGTACTTAATATACAAGAGAATCTAGCAAATATATAAAAATCGACAAAAGCAGGTTTTTTCCATACATATCTTCCATACCAGTAGTCAACATGCAGTCCTTGACATATCTACGGCACTGACGCCACTGACAACAAAAATGCTGAATTACTAGCGGGTTTTTGTTAGTCCCAAACGTAGTTTTACTTGTTTTGTGAAGGTTTATTGATTGAAAAATTTTAAAAACATTTTTTAAATTGAAAACCCGCATCTCGAAAACGATACGTTTCCGGACAAAGGCTTTTATAAACCTCTTTTGCTTATTTTTACCTAAGGAATTTAAGCATTTCCTGGTGACACGTCATAAAAATTGCAACCGATCAGAATTCGAGAAATAACAATGAATTTATTTCAAAGAGATACTGAATCAGTTGCAGTTAATAATAGCGGCTCCGTCAAATTTAATACTTTCCACCGGTAATAAAACTGTAAACTATGTGACATAGTTTGTAGTAAAGTTTACAGTCCTTTTAGTTTCGAATGCGTCGGGCTCTGCGCGCAGAATCGAGTAATAAAAAATAATTCATCGGTCGGTTAAAGCGACGCACTTTAATTGTTATGCAACGGCTGGCATGGTGTAGGTGTGTGACTGATGTAAATGAAATGGCATTAAGTCTCTATAACGGTTCTGATTATATACAGGGTGTCCAGTGAGGGAAGCCCACGAGACGGATGCCAGATCAGACTATCGAGCTCGGCCAACTATCTCCCTCCAGCCCTTCCAACGGCTCAACCAGACTAACAGATCATCATGCCCCAGGTACCTCATTTTTCCTTTTTTCGTTCACTGTCCTACTTCTAGTAACACGGTCATTTACTCTCTTTCATTTTTTTCCCTTCTAGTAGCGACGTTTTTTCATATTTGTACACATCAGCTTATCGGCATACAGGTTGGCCCACTAAAATCATAACACACTTTTAGCTTTTTCACTAACGATTCCATTTAAAAGATATCTGAGTTCTATAAATAGCAATTAGATACAGGGTGATTACGCGAAAATTTTAAATTTATCCGTAATTTCATCTTTGAGGTATGGAAAAGTTAAGTATGATTTATTCATTTTCAGAGATGGTGGAACACTCTGTATATTTTATATATCCTCTTCACTAAAAAAAGTATTTGGATCAAATGAGCAGATAGTTTTAAATGGAATTATTTGCCGTAAATGTTATTGTATTATATTCAAATGTATAATATACATTATACAAAGTATATTATACTTTCTTCAAACTATGTGAAATATTTGCTGTAATCCATAATTTTTCTTAGAATTTATATTTGTAAATATGATTTAATTCAAATCCTTTATAGTTTTGAAGTTTATTATCTTGGACTTTAGCTACAATATCTCTCACAGTTCATCATAAACTGCCATCATATTTATTTCAAAACTACTAGTTCCTTAAAATATATATAAAATTTAGTATTAATGTGGGAATTATTCAAGGCAGATGTAGTATATTATAATCAAACTTATGTTTTCTTGAAAGAAAATTGTAGCAGATCACATAATTACGTAGGTGGGAAGTAGCACTATAGATGGAGCCACTTACGCTCTGTGTATACACATCTCCTTGTCAGTAACGACACTAAAGCAGCTGGATGGTTGGTTAAACTTACGAACGGTCCTAGCTGTTTGTACTAGGTGTTGTAAGTTTGAAACAAAATAATTTTTATTGCTGAGAAATATTTATAACCAAATGAATGTATTCTTAAAATAAGTATAAACAATCATTTGACCAAAACTATTCAATTTTGTATTAAACAAACGATACATTAATATACAATACAAAACATGTTTGTATACTATGTATACAATCTATGTAGATCATAAAACATAAAATTAAGAATAGAATTCGCTTAACCGTAAGTATTAAATATTTATTTTAAATGCTTCCTATTTTTAAACTAAGAAATTATATTTCTGGGTAAAAATTTAAAGTATTTAAATAAATAAATAATTTTCTTGAAACAAGAAAATATTTTCTTGCGTTATTGTGCGATACCTTAAAATCAAATGTTGTACATTTGAAACAAGAATTTTTTTGCATGTAGTCCGCAGAGCAATTATTCCTGGCATTATCATCAGTTGAGTCAAAGCGTTGTTTATGCGGTTCAATATCTTTTCCATACCTATATTTTTGGTATCAATCAGGTTTTTAGGAAACATTTGAATTTTTGTGAATTAATTTAATACCTTTAATAAATAAAGTAAACGTAACGATTTAAGACAAGAATTTGACTGTATTTGCTTGTTGCTTAGCAAACTGACAATAATCTTCCTAGCTTATTACATTTATCCACATTCTTCTGTCACCTCTCCTTTGATTTTAGAGATAGACTTATCGATGTTTATAACTCTATAATGCTGAGAAAATATATCAGAATGTATAAAAAATATACAGGTTGTTTCGCAAGAAAAAACAGAGTTGGTACCTTTATATGTACGATTAAAAAAACACACTGTACCTACATTTAACGTCATTTGCGAGTAAAAATTACTGCGATGTGGAATTTTGAGTGAATTTATAATTAAAAAAAGACAGGGGCTTATCAACACAGATGAAAAAGAACTAAAATATGTGAGAATGAGCATAAATTGTGAAAAAATCGCTCCATTTGTTACGCATTTCAGTCAAACCTAACATTTTCATGCGATAACCATGTAAATAGCATGTTTCTTATTTTTTATATATATAAAGATATTATTTTTAGCTCTTTATTAAAAAGTGTTTTTTATAAAATTGCCCTTTCATATTGCAAATACGTCCGCACTAATCTTTAGGGGAATACTGTCTTTTGTTTGTTATTTGTGTCTGTAGATTTTTATAAATATTCTAGATAAGATTATGTGCTACAGGACTTTCAGCTAAGTAAGATATATTGCAAAATGCTGTCATTATTTCAGGGAAATCAGAATCGTGTTTTTCCAAGTAATATTTTATATCCGCAATCAATTTTAACCGTGATCCTTTTATTTTATCTTTTTTATCTTATTGAATTGGAAGAATCATAGGGTTTTACTGAAATATTTTAATAAAAACACCGTTTCATTCGAAAATATAGTAATATATGGTATATGAAACTTGGACAGATTTTGACGTTATCAATTACTTATACGTAAAAAAACTCTTCATTATTAAAAAACTCTCACTACCATCAAAAAATAAAACTAATGCTTCACCATTTAACTCTACTGCCAAAATAGTTTTCATCGACTAAAGTTATCTTTGCTAACAATTTCAGGGATGTTTACCTCTTGTTTTAATTCATAAAAAATTCTTTGAAGGTTTCATTATACACCTGAATCGTTAATAGATCATTCAATCTATACACTGTATAACAAAGTGATGTACTGTTGTACGAGAATCATTAAAGGGTCTCACCGGGTTTCCACGTGAAATCTGCACTGGCGGGTTTTTTAACAATGGTGTCTTCAGTGTGTTGCTTGTTGATAGAAGTAACTTTTGACCAATTATCAGAGCTCTATATTTGCTCATTTTTAAAAAAATGGGGTTGCAACCCTTAACTTCAAAATAATTTTTCTATAAAACTATGTTTTTCTGCGGCGACTAAGATTTTCTGTTTCACCTAGATCTTTTAGTTTTTTTTTTTGTATTTCACGTTCTCATATAATTAATTATGGTATCAGCAAGTTCTAAATCTGAGTTCAACTTATCTTTTTATCTTTATATATAAATATCTTTATCTTTTTCTATAATATCTGTAAGTGTAATACGTCAATTAAAACTTACACAAATGTTGCAACTTCACAAAGATCTCACACATCACTGTCGTGGTATATTCTAAAGTTCTAACAAGTATCAGTTCACAATACTCTACCTAGCAACATAAAATAATTATTTTGAATATGATCCACCCATCGCAGATCTATGTAACTGCTATGCATTGTAGCTTAAGACTCACTGATTATACGTGATTTTTTTGGTTAGTGTATCTCGAGAAATAGCCACAAAAAACCACCCTTCATTTTTTCAATTTTTTTTCTCACTGTTTATATAGTTGAAAAACTATGAAAAAAATATGCAATATAATTCTTATCAGTAGCTTTCATATGCCGTTGGATTTATTCAAATATCTATCATAGTTTTATAGAAAAATGATTTTGAAGTTAAGGGTTGCAACCCCATTTTTTTAAAAATGAGCAAAGATAGAGCTCTGATAATTGGTCAAAAGTTACTTCTATCAACAAGCAACACACTGAAGACGCCATTGTTAAAAAGACACGCCAGTGCAGATTTCACGTGGAAACCCGGTGAGACCCTTTGGTCCAGAGGTGTTGTACATAGAAAAGGTCCGATCATTATTTGTAGGTACCTACAAATACTGAAGAAAAATGGTTCAATATGGCGGAATATTGTTCGGAAACCTGTTATAAATAAAATATCAAAAAATCAACTCGAGGCTAGTTGGGAAACTTTGTTTTAACATTGATCAAAGTCATGGAAAAGTGGTTTTTTGATTCACGTAAAAAAGCTATTATTCATAGCGAAAAAAAGTTTATACAAAAAAGGTAGGTATTAAATAAGCCTATAAAATGAAAAAAGTCCGATTAAATTCCGATAATTTGTTTATGCACAAGAGCTCAAAAATGGTCGAAAATTGCCGTTTTTTTCAATTGCTAATAATTAATGCAATTTTCATCGCAGACACTTGTAATTCAGGATTTTTGAGGCTTTTTACACCCTTAATAAGTGGTAAAAATTTCAGCTCGAAAGCTTCATTGGTTTGGCGTTGGCGGAATTTGTTATCTAAGAAGATGCTATTTTCAATTCATTTTTCCCAAGCTCACAGGCGTTGTAGGGTTTTGATCATTAGTTGTTTTTGTACCTAAATAGTTGTATTGACATAGGCATTTACTGAGAATTTAGTTTTTCAAATTTAATTTGTTTAAAATTGACTGAAAAAATGTTAATATTTATTAAATTGTTAAGATAGGTAATTATTATAAAATAAAATAGTAACCTCTTTACTTTAGTTTTCTTCGAATTTAAAAAAAAATCGTTGTTGTAAGTTGATTAGAAGCTGAGATAATTTTTTTTATTTATTTAATCGCAGTGACCTTAATTATTAATATTAAGAGCCGAAATTTGGAGAGAGTATACATTAAGAGCTATATTTTCATGTCCTACATTAACATTAAGGTGAATTCAACTATTTAATTTCGAAAAAGAAGATAGCGGCGATGCGTTCTATTACTTGGTCTAGCGAACGAGTGGGGAAGGCGAGGCTTAGCATGCGCGCTTAACGATGTAATAAATATTAACATTTTTTCAGTCATTTTTAAACAAATTAAATTTGAAAAATTAAATTATCAGTAAATGCATATGTCAATACAACTATTTAGGTACAAAAACAACTAATGATCGAAACCCTACAACGCCTGTGAGCTTGGGAAAAATGAATTGAAAATAGCATCTTCTTAGATAACAAATTCCGCCAACGCCAAGCTAATGAAGTTTTTGGGCTGAAATTTTTACCACTTATTAAGGGTGCAAAAAGCTTCAAAAATCCTGAATTACAAGTGTCTGCGATGAAAATTGCATTAATTATTAGCAATTGAAAAAAGCGGACAATTTCGACCATTTTTGAGCTCTTGCGCATAAACAAATTATCGGAATTTAATCGGACTTGTCTTATTTTACAGATTTATTTAATACCTACCTTTTTTGTATAAACCTTTTTTTCTCTATGAATAACAGTTTTTTTACTCCAGTCGAAAAACTACTTTTCCATAA